TGACCTCGCTCGAATTATTTCACATTCGACCTCGCTCGAATTATTTCACATTCGACCTCGTTCGAATTATTTCACATTCGACCTCGTTCGAATTATTTCACATTCGACCTCGCTCGAACTACTTAATATTCGACCTCGCTCGAACTACTTAATATTCGACCTCGCTCGAAATCTTCAATGTTCGACCGCGTCGAACGTCGATATCATCAAAAAGCCAGGGGCCTCCCCATATAGCAAAAAAAAAAAGAACACAAATCAAGAAAATGGAGCTGCTCCATTACAACTATCATATTACAATACTTTTTACAAAGGGCCCAAAGACGCCCTTACAAAAATAGCAAAACAAAACAAAAACTAAGTACGACAGCTTTACGTTGCATCATCCCTATTGGTGTACTCATCATCATACCAAGAATCGGAGGCGAGCATGTCCGCATCATCATCAACATCATCCCCACCACGCGTACCAGGGGCATAGCCACAAGCTTCACGGGCCGCACGTGCTTTAACACGGACACCCTCGAGTTCTGCTTCAAAAAAATTCCCTTCGGCCTTCAGAGACTTATACACATCAAGCTGAGCCTCGGCGTGAACCCACATCTCATACAACTCCCGTGGCATTCCAGGGTTGGCAGAAGTATGAGACGTAGATGGTTGTGACTGGCATCACACATCCTCAGCCTTCAAAACAACAACCTGCTCGTTCAATCCGGACAACTCCGCCTCCAGATCCTGGATCCGCTCTTCTAACCTTGCCACCTTGAGCGCCGATATCTCCACCTCATTATCCCACTTAGACCTACAAACATGGAGGGCATCATCTAAGGCTGCTGCTTTAGACATGGCGGCCACTCTGCCTTTCTCGGCTCGAGTCAATTCCTCGACCTTAATGCTCAACTCGCCCCTTAGATCGACAGCCTCCGCTTCCCTCCGCCCAAACTCAATAGTTAAGGAGGCCACCCATGCTTGAAGGTCGGCATTCTCAGTTATCACCCCTTGCTCACCTCGAGCTCGTCCTCCTTGGCCTTCAGAGAAGCCTCAAGCTCGTTGCACCCACCGATGTCTCTCATTAGCTCATCATCCCTCTCCTTTAGCTCTTCATCTTTCTTCGCCAATTCTTCATCTTTCTGTTTGAGCCCGTCACGGAACAGCTAAAATTCGCTATCCTAGTTAAAAACATCGGCCAATGTTCGGTGCTTAGTAAGGTACTCCCTATACTTGGAGGTCACCTTCTTAAAAATGGTCGTCCTCCGCTCCTCTCTCCGATCACGCTCAATCCCCATGATAAGAGTCTAACATGCAAAATAAAGGATTCAGTATGAGCAAATTACATCTACAAAACAAATTCTAACATTAAAAATCACTTACTCGCAGAGCCATGCCAGATATACTCAGCGATAACTCCGCATCGCTCATCGCCTATAGTGCCATATTGTTAGAAGCCGTGCACAGAGGGGAAAAAGACAGCACCACCCGTTCCGAGTTGGCCAAAAGGTCGTAACCTATGGGGATGATCACGTGTTAGTTAGGACCCTCCGTCCTCACCTCCACCCGAGTTCTCCTCTCCAGAAATGCCCGTACCTCCTCAGGGTCGATATCCAAACCAGAATCATCGTCCCCTGCAGGCACCGCTCTATTTCCCCCAACCGCCAATGATGCACCACCCTCGGCAGCCCGTGCAAACTCTCCGCCATCGCGAACTCCCTCAATACCAGAGGTCCCCCTCTCCATAACGGCACCCGCCGCAGAAACGGTCTCTATGTCCGGGGCAGGAGCAGATGCTGCTTCCAAAGCAATGACCTTTTTCAGCTCGATATCAACAACAACGGCCTTCCAGATTTCCACCCTTCGTCTTTTTCTCGATGGAGATTCCTCATCGCTAGATAGTTTGTCTACCAGATGGTAGATGTGCCAAGAAGAGATATCGTCCCTCACGACCATAGTTTGGAGGGTGGAGTCCCTCTTCGGTAAAGCTTGACTACGACCTCCCCGAACAGACTCGACCAAAGCAAATTGCATCCCCGCCGACGCGATGGCTTGATGGAATACTGGCACTGGAGCTTTCTTCTTTGAAATTCGCCGGCCTAACACCAAAGGGAGGTCGTATCAACAAGCAATGGTAAATAGCAGAAAAGTTGAAGCAAAAGCAACACTTACTAGATGATACCTTTGGTCCAAAACACTTGTAGAAAGCCGCCCAATCACGAATCTCCACCATGTGAGGCAATATGCGGGCCACCCGATCCTCAATGTCGAAGACAGGAGTGGGTGCACGCCTTTCAGCTGAAACACAAACAAAACGCAAGTGAGCTGAAAATGAAAGGACGAAGGAAGACAACGAGTGTACGACAAAGACACTTATGATCATAGTTCCACTGCTCGGGAAACCCAGACGGGTCCGCTACCAAGTGCTCGGTTTTGATGAAGAAATTCTTATTCCAGAACTTTCGATTTGTTCTGTCATCCATTCTGACTACCAGCCCTCTGGTCCCACGATGTCGCGGGTGTGTCATAGTATCTCTATAAAAACTTGGCGAAAATAAGTGCAGCGAGTAGCGAACGTCAACCTCGCAGCCAGCCAATTCCGCGTACTTCGTCAGCATTAAGAAAGCCTTGTACAAGTAAGGAGAGAGTTGCACCGGGTAGACGTTGTAAAACCGACAAAACTCCTCCGCTAGAGGAAGGAGAGGAAAAGTATAACCAATCAATAACGGGTAAACATAGAAGGCACAATACTCGGGTCGATGGACCTCCACGATGTCACCACTGGCCGGAAGTATCTGGACGTTGGGGGGATGCGATGTTTGGACCGAAGGTCGGCTATATGAGGGGGTCCAGTCTCGGAGAGCACTTGAACGGGAGAGAGAGCAGGCTCTTTAGGAAAATCGTTTCTAATCAAAGGGTTTTTAGGAACTATCTCCTCCGCGATAGGGAAGTTATCATCTTCTTCAGTCACGAATTCCTCACAGACGGGAGGAAGGGCCACCGATAACGGATTGGCATCGGAAACTTCATCGTGAATGTAAGGGGGTTATGACATATTTTCAACAATAAAGCATATTCTACTAAGCTCGAAGAGGAAGATAATGTTTGGATAAGAAAAAGGGGAATGGAATCAAAGAAGCAAGATCAGAAGCATAAATTGGAGAAGAAGATCAACAACAGTGCTCATGCAAGACAAAGGATGGTGAAAACTTCTGAAAACCCCCCATCTATTTATAAGGCTGGGTGGCGCGAGAATCAAAGCAAAAGATTGTCAATGGCACCAAAATCAAAGCGGTAGATGCACAAATGCTGCATCGGAAAGATGCGTAATGATGACGCGTGTGGCCATGACGTCACCCCACGATAGCCGCACCGACCATAACTTCGCTGGCTGCGCCATCCTCTTGACTTCGACCGACCCAACTTATTCAACATGGCCAAATTTCTCCTCAATAGGAGCAAATCAAGTCCGCTTATCGAGGGCGTGCAGTGCCATGGCCTCAACAAGCGGAGGGACTAACTGTATAGGTCTAAATTTGGCGATTTTGGTTTAAGTAGATAAACGGGACCAAGGACGGGGTCGACCACGGCGTAATAGCGTGAAGCCATCCTCGAGAGGACTGTTGTCGAGGACGAGCAGTTGAAGTGAAGAAATAATAGTAGGATAAATTTAGATATGGACACGAGGAATATTCCTTAAGATATTCCTTATTTTGTACTTTTTAGGATTTTCTGGAAATATCCCTTATAAATAGGAAGAGCTAGACAAAAGAGGGGATCTTCATTTTATGAGAAAAACACTCTGTAAAAGGTTGACTTTGAGAGAATATACAAAAGTTGTCTTGTTCATTGATTATCTTATACAAGCAGACATTATTTACTCTTTGTTCACGAGATCGTGAGATTACATAACCATCCAAGTCCAAGAATCACCCAAGTCTTACAATAATTGGGTGGTATATTCTTTCGTATTATCTTTATTGCTATTATCTATGTTTATTGCATATTTATGTTATTGCATTTATGATCATTTATTGAGTGTAAACATGCTGATTAACGCGATTAATTGGTTTAACTAAAACACTCAACACTTTTTGGTCAAACAACTACTACAAATTAATAATATCCACTAGGAAGACTTGTTTGTGCTTGGAGTATTTACCTGATTTTAAATGTATTTTGTTGAACCATATATGTTATTGATATCATTATATGGTTATTCGATAAATATTTTCAGAATTGATAACTACCTTGTTTTTATTTACATCTCAAATAAAGGCATAGGTAAAATATAAAACAGTCATCTCTAATTTTTCCGTCCAATTCTCATAAAGATAAATCTTGAAGACATTTACTTAGATAATCAATTACTTTTGTTCTGTTCAATCATATGTATATAATTATTAGATAATAGTTTATCAAACCAAACTATACGTTGCCTCAAAATGGGAATAATCATAGTATGAGTTGTTGACACTTATGTTTCACAAAGTTCATATTTTTCATTTCTGGGAATTTGAAAAAATTCTTCAATTAAAAAGGAGGAGACAAAAAGAAATAAAAAAAAATTAAAGAAATGGGGAAATTCTAGACCTTAAAAAAAATAGTTCACAAACGAAAATTATGTTTAGAAATAGATGACCAATTTATAAAATTATATTCCGTAATCATGTTTTTCCCTTCAAAAGAAAAAAATAGTTTCCCCCTCTACTTTACCCCACCAACTAGTCAAAGTAAGAGAAAAAAAAATGTCGGTACTGCGTCAAGATCAAAATATCCTTGTCTAAAATTCTAAATTAGACAGCTTTCTTATTTTCTAACGAACAAAGAGTTAAATTTGATTTATACTACATGTTTTCCATTAATAGTTGGGATTATCATGTCCTTACCGTAAAAAGTCAAGTCATATTTGATTATTAGCTAATTACGTGTCCAAAATTTAAAAACCGAAAAATGGTGAAAATTGACCCTAAATTATTTGAAAAGAATTTTAACAAAAAAAGAAACTTTTTTGTTCTAATTTTTCAGCTGTTACTACAAGCCGTCGGTGTTGTGCACATTCTCCTCAGATCACCCCAACAAGATCCCAAAAATCCAAATGCAACCCAAGAAAAACACCCCCTTTTCCTTTCACATTGTCCTTTTCAACAAATTTCTGCATTTGGGTTTCTGAAATTAACCCTTCAAATCCCAGTTTTTGTTCTCAATTTTAAAGGTTCTAAATTGGGTTAGAGGATAAAACAAAGGAAAAAAAAGAGCTATGCATTCTATAAAAGATACAGTTTCTGAGAAACTTTCAAGTCTATTTTCAGCTTCCCCTTCTAAATCTGTTGATCAACAAACTCAGGTTCTTTTTCCTCTTTCTCTTTCTTAGAATTTAAACTGTTGAATTAATCTTGTGTGATTTTGGGTTATGCATTTTCGTCTTTGATCTTTATGTGGAGCTAAAGTTTATTTTTTTTATTCACCATTATATGTGTAATTGAGTTGGTGGTAGTGTTAAGTTTTGGTCAGCGGCGGATCCAGGATCTTGTAGTCGTGGGTGCTCCGCCTCTTTATCTACACTTGTTACGGTCAGAGGCGGATGTAGTATTCTACCGACGGTTTCAATTGAACCCATAACTTTTTACGTATAGTAAAAATTTATATATAAACATTCAATAAAATTGCAAAAATAGTGGATATGAACCCATAACTTTAAAAATATATATAATGAGTTCAGTGCAAAAAACCTTAACAGTTAAACCCATAGAGTTTAAATCCTGGATCCACCTCTGGTTACGGTCACAACATATAAGTGCACAACTACGTCTTATCCCACGATGGTAAAAATATTTAACAAATATACTAAAATTAATATTATAGTTAAAAGATTTAATTTATCCACGGTTATCCCTTGCTATTTTCATTTTTTAAATACACAATAAGCTAACAAATATCATTTTTTGCTTATTTTACGTTTATTTTCAGGATTAACCTTCAGTGCAAAACTATTAGCTTTAGATTGAACATAAATTGAATATTTTTAATTAATTACAAAAAGTTTAAACAATATTACCAATTTCCTTCTACAATCGCAAAAGATGGAGTTTCGTCAGCTTAGGTTTGATGGGGTTTGGGGGAAAGAAATTAAAAAAGCAAAGGCACTTAAAAGGAAAAGAAAAATATGAAAAAGACCATTCATTTTTGGAGCCGAATGGGCCACGATATTGGGGAAGAAAACAGAAAGAGAGAAGAAAAATTAAAATGAAGCAAATAAAATTAAAAGAGGAATAAAAGTACTGAAGGGGTTATTAATATCAAAATGGAAAAAATATTTTCAAAGATTCGATTCTGCGACTGTTCCATCTAGAGATCACTCAAGTGCACTTTCTAACCAAAGCACCCACCTGCTTATTTTGTTCCTGGGTGCTGACTAAAATTATTTGTTAATTTAATAATAATTGTTTACATAAAACATTGGTTCCGCACCAAAAGCAATGGGTGCTAGAGCACCCATATGGCTCCGCGTGCATCCGCCCATGGTTTTGGTGATCTGTCAGTTGGGCTGATTAGTTTGTGCATGAACTGGATTGGTTGGCTGAAAAAAATAAGAAAAAGAAATAAAGATGAAAACTTTATATGATGTTTAAGGAATTTACTTGACTATGAAATGGGTAACTGGAAAAAAGAAAAAAAGAAAAAAGATTACAACTTTATATGATGAAATAGGTAACTGAAAAAAGAAATATAGAAAAATGATGAAAACTATATATCAAGGAAGTTGTACATGAAGTGAATTGAGTAACTGAAAAAGAGAAGAAAGGGAAAAAAATGACAACTTTAAACAAAGTCGAAAGATTCAGTTAGTTGTTTCATGGCTGTTTATTTTGTGGTTGCGAAATATGAAGCACTTGTTCTATTTATGAGAACAAAAGTTAACAAGAAAGACACTGGATGTTCAATCTCAAGTTTTTTTATAGCAGTTTACCGCTAAATTGAGCAGCATTTGTCAGCTGCTACATGTAATAGAATTATATCATAACATATAGAGTTTGCATTTCCTGCTGGAAGAGTGAATTACTCATGCTACATTGTTCTGATTCTATTCTTTTTGTAATTTTGGATATTTGTTTATTTGAGCAAAATTAGAAGCTCTACATTGTGTTTCCCTTCTGCAATAGGAGATTTGTTGTTCTATGCAGTGCATATAATTTGTAACATTACCTCTCTCTGTGTTTAGGCCAGGCCGTATACTAAGGAAGGAAAATCTGTAACATCTATCCTTTCTTTCCTTCTCCCATCGACATATTCTGAGAATATAAGATATCGAGATGATGTCAAACCACTTCAATCACATTCTTTTACATGGAGAAGTAAAAGTTTCTCGTGGCGCGATAAACCTCTGGATGATTTTGAGGATCACGATGATTACAAAGAGATACCAGACGTTTATCCAGAAGAAAGTGAAAATGGCTGCAACAGGACTTCACTTTGTGTAAAGAAGGGAACAGTAAATACAGACAGGGATAATGGAGAGCCTAATTCCGCAAGTAGCATTGCGAGTGGTTCTGAAACTTTTGAAGATGCTCCGGATAGACACAGTTTTGAGCAGTCCATGGCATATCTAACCACTGATTCTGTTTTCATCACTCCAGATTTATATGATTTTTTCCAGTCTTCCCTTCCTAATATAGCGAAAGGTTGTCAATGGGTCTTGTTATATAGGTAATCTTGACCTTAAAATAGTTTCACTGTAACGTCTATTGCAACTTTGGTAGCCTGAGTATTAACATCTATTTTTGTTCATTTGCATGAAGGGCAGCACGGCCAGACATGGTATATCACTTCGTACTCTTATTCGGAAGAGTGCCGATCTTTCTGGTCCTTGCTTGCTGGTATTTTCACCTAAATTACTATAAATTTTTGCTGTGCATGCGCTCCCAACTCATTAGCAATTTTTAAAGGATCTCTTCTGAAACTCAATTTTCTTAATAACGTTGGTCTCAGATTACTGGTGATAAGCAGGGTGCTGTATTTGGTGGGTTGCTTGAGGCACCATTGAGGCCTACTGCAAAGAGGAAGTACCAAGTAATAATGCAATCACATGCAGTGTTTAATTTTCTTTACTGATAAAATATAATGATGCAGTATTTTCAAAAAGAAAAACACCAGTTTGTATTACTCTTGGTAATCGACTTGGTGCAAGAATGTGGTTTCAGAACCCCTTAACTCTAAATGACGGATTAAAAAGCAATTGCCAATATCTGCTTTTTTAGTCCTCACCTAGTTTTGGTTTTGTTTTCAATTCTAATGTAATTACTGTATTATTGTGTCAGGGAACAAATCAAACATTTGTATTCACAACTCTATATGGTGAACCAAGGTTATTTAGACCAACAGGTAAGGAAATTGTTCAAAGGTTTGTTACAATATCAGTTTTACAAAACCAGTTATTGAAAATTTATATTTAAGAGAAACTGCAGTCTTGAATTAACTATGAGCCATCACCATTAAATACATAAGCGAATTTGTTTAAACATTACATATGGAAAGGCTCTTCGAGCTGTTCCATTGTTCCATTATATCGTTATTTAGTCCCTCATGACTTGTCTGGGGAAAGTTTTCCTTGATGGTTGGAGATAGAGGCCATAATTTTTTGTAACGGTTGTCTCCGGGCCAGCTTGCATGCACCTCAACTAATTTCACGGAGTACCCAGCACAGCTGCACAGGTACCGGGTGACTCTGTTCACCAAGGCTTGGACAGATGGGAAGAAATCACCTAGTGTGTTTGCCTTCGCTAGTGTTTGAACGTGAGAAGCAACCCTTTCCTCTCTATTCTTTTAACCCAAACCAAGCACAGCATCATAGATGCATGTCAAAGACATGCGTCAAACTTTACAAAGTTTTATTATGTTGCACCTTCAAGTTATTATGCTGCACTGTTACTTTCTTACCAGGGACCTAGTTTCCTCCGTTCAACATAGTTATTCTCTCTGATGAAAAATGACTGCTGGTTCTTAGTAGCTACTGTGTACTGCCACTGGCAAACTGAGGTGATAAACATATCTTAGAAGTCTAATCCTTTGTGAAAATTATCAGCAAATTAAGATGCTACCCGTAGTAGAAAGCCTGGCACAATCCTTTATTGTGACCCTTGCTGAGATTCTTCCAATCTCTACGTATGATATTTTTTTGGTTTCTCTCTTTTTTCTTGCTTCTTTTTGTTTGGAGAGAGGAGTAAGAGTTAATTCAAAATGAGTTCCTATGCTACTTAGCTTTGTTCCTTTATCTAAATTACTATGTTGCCCGGACTCTCCAAAATTGTTGCCGGGTGTGTGTCGGATCTTCCAAAAGCAGTGCAATTTTGGAGGATCCGACACGGGTGCGGCAGCATTTTTGGAAAGTCCACGCAACTTAGCTAAATTGCTCTAACATATGTTGCAACTACCAGACCACCAAATACAAAATAAAATAACATAAATTTCAATATCCTAGTGAGACTGATCATGTTTCTGTTAAGCATTTGTCTGATAAATCTTCTTGCTCAGTCCACGTCAAAGCTTGTCGATGGGAACTTAACATAAAAGATGAGCTTTGTATACCCATTTTGATACATGAGCCAAGTCACTGTATATAGTTTGTAGAAAATCCCAAGGATTCTGATCTGAAGTAATCCATGAAATGGTGTAGACATTAGCTAACCCATTGTTATTTTTGCACTAGGTGCCAATAGATATTTTTACTTGTGTTTGAATGACGTCCTCGCACTTGGAGGAGGTGGAAATTTTGCTTTAAGCTTGGATGGTGATTTGTGAGTTTCTCTGCCTTGCCCTATACAATGTTGCTTGCAAATTTCTTCCTTTTTTATTTGCAATTTTCTGTGAAGGTTATTTGGCAGTAGTGGACCTTGTGAAACATTTGGGAACTCATTCTTGGCACATGATCAAGAGTTTGAACTGAGGAATGTTGAGGTAATGTTCTGTGTCAAAGAAAGGAGAAATTCGTTGNTTTCTTCTTATCCTTTTGTCTTTGTGCCCATTAATTATTCTAGAGGTATGACTTTCAATTTAGTTTCAAAGAACTATATGACGTTCGACGTTTTACCGAGAGAGAGAGGGAGCACTCGAGCGCTTGTCGTCTCTACGAGTATAAACATCGAGATTCCACATGTCATCTGATTTTAGAGGGAGGGAGGGAGGGAGGGAGCGCACTTGTGCACTTGTCGTCTCTACAAGTATAAACATGGAGATTCGTATCCACATGTCATCTGTTTTTAAATGCATATACGTTCTTCATCTAGTACTTCTGTATATCAATGCTTCCTATAGTTCTCTGTCAAAGAAAGGAGAAATTCCTTGTCTGCTTTGATAAGGATTAATGCTTAGCTGTTTGTTGTTATTTTACTTACATCATGTATGATGTTTGCGATTAGTATTTTTCGTTTGGTTTGCATATCAGTGTAGGTATAAATGTGAGATTTTGAGAACTGCTAACTTGCATTTAAGAATACATTATTTACCAATACTGAAACGAAATGGACCCAAAATATAGCAATATAGCGAAATAGATATAAAGGATTACTTTGGGACTGAGACATCGTTGATTGACTGATTGAACGATAATGGGCTATTCTTAATTGCTTCAATTTTGAGAACCACAACTCTAGGAGGTTAAGTTTTAACTAATGTGAAAAAGCACATATCAGCGAAAAATAAGAAAAAGAATAAATTGTGTATTGCTCCCATTTGATTTTTGAGGGTCATATCATAAGGGAAACAACGATAAATAATTGTAGGAAAACAGATTATTTATATAGTTATTTCAAATTTACGGTGTGTTTGCAGAAATCCAAATAATATTGTGCTCAAATAAAAGATTGTAGCTTAAGTCAGTTGATATTATCGCATGGCTTTGTGATAAGTTGGTTCAAATTTGCTAGAAATGTATTCTAGGACTGGGACGTTGCATATTTGGTATCAAACTGATGACATATTTGTATAAATTCTTCGACGTTCTATTACCAATCTGACATTTTATTTTTCTTCTTGATGCAGCTATGGGGTTTTACACACGCATCCCGTTACCTCACCACATCCGAAGCATGAATTTATTTCATAGCTATATCTTGGGAGTACAGTTATTTATTCTTTCATGTCCATGAAGCAGTTCTCTCTTATAATCCTGGAGGCTTCCTGTTGTACATGGGCTTGTTGTAGCCTAGTGTGATTTTAGCAATTGTGGGTTGATATGCATATAGGTAATTCTTTATCCTTCTATATTTAGCACATTCTTTATCCTTCCAGCCAGTGGAGGCTTTCTAGTCGTTATTATTATTTTTTCTGAATATTGATTCAGCATTTTACATTGTGCATTTTGTTACAAGTAGATTTGAGAACTTGTTATAAGTTTACAAAGGTGTCAAGAGTCCAAACCAAAACCTAAAAAAGTGGGGAGTCTACCTCGCAAACATAGTCAATGTAATCTAGCGGTTAATGAAGTAACGTTTAATCAAGCGGTTAATGAAGTAGGTAAAAACTTTGAAGTTTAAATCCTAGTAGAGACAACTTAGATAATCTCTTCCCTTTTACCAAAGTTTTGATAGGCAAAGTTACGTGGTACTATGCCGGTGGAGAATAGCGGGTATCCAATGGAATAAAAAAATTGCAAGTACGACCAATATGAAAGCCTTGTCAGCAGTATTTAATCGAAGTTCTGAACAGTTATTTGTTGTTTCTTAGCTAGCGTTTGAATGAAATTTGAAAAAAATGAATTTTTGAAGATGAGATAAAAAATAATTTTTGAAAGTTGAAATTACGTTTGCACATACATTTAAAAGAATTTAAAATTCTATGAGTAAAGTTTAAGAAATTTAAAAACTACTCTAGTGTTGTTTTTGGGATTTGAAAATTTATTTTCAAAATCTGCCAAAAATAAATAAAAACTATGAATAGATATTTGAAAACAAAATTTTAAAAAAAACTCACCAATTTTATGGCCAAACGGGGGCTTAGTAATCCTTGACATCCATGACCTACTCGCAGACATAATATTTCCTTGACAAACGTAAAAAGATGAAAAAAAGTTCATGCTTCTCAGAAACCTGCCACAACTAACACAACAGAGAATTCGAATCAGTACTGGTTAACATTGGTGAAAATCAGGTAAAAAGCGTATTAGATAAATTGGTAACTTGAATGGCCCGGTCGGAAAACATAAATAAATGCAATATCTGCTTTAGCTACTAACTTGACATCTCAATGTACTGTAACTGATCGTTTCCATTCAGAGATAGGCAATGGTTACAACAATGATACAATAGACTACCCAAGGATGGTATTGAGACTACCAAATAAACTCTGCACTTTGGATATTATCCCAAGTTGGTGGTATGTCTATTTGCCAGACCACCCAAAGATCTAGCAAAAACCAGAAGAATTACATATTAAAACGGGACCCTCAACCTCCTCCCCTAGAGATAATACAGTGGTCTCAGCAGATGCGAAGCTGTGGCGTTGACTGTTTGCTTTCATGCTAGAAATGAGCCTAACTCTCCATTTGATCCTCGCCAGGCAGCCCAAATATTCTTAAATTACGGTCCATAGATCCGACAGCTATGTATTTTGCATCTGGACCAAATTTCAGACATGTTGCTTTACCTGCATTAGATGACAGCAATGACTATTATTACCTTTATAAACACATGCAACAGAAATAGTCAAAAATCCATCTAGAAAACGAGAGGAAGATTATACCTGTGCCTGATAAGTCGGGGAGGGTTTTGATGTGATTCCATTCAGCCTTAACACTGGCGACTTGGAAAACTCTGATTCAGCACAGACAGAAATGACATTTAACTCTACTTGACCAAAAGAAAGCTCCAAGAATCATTTGACAAGGGAAACATAGTGGCAATGAGAATAATGATAATCAAAAGTATAATGACAAACAATCCAAAGTGTCTTGGTTTCTACTTCTTCTTTCATTGAGCTATGCCGAAGTCTTTAGAGACTCAAAAAGGAGAACTACTTTTTAGTTAGAGAAAAATGAGAACATTGAATCACTGAATCAGAGAGCTATCCAGTCCCAATATTTGTGCAGGTGCCTTACCGTATATCTGAGCCTCCTAAGGCAAGATAACTTCCACTATGGTCAAATTGCACTGCGAGTAAAAGGAGAAGCAGCAACGTTAGATAATCTTAGATGTGTATAAAATTGTTATAGTAGATGAATTTATGATAAATAATTAAAAACATCAAGAAAGATGGAAGGATAGACTTGGTATAACACTACCTGAAAGGAACCAGTGTGGTAAACTGTATGCCAACGCAGTGTAAAAAATGAAAAGCTCTGAAGTAGACTATTGATTTACAAAGCTACAAGACTATAAAGCCTGAGATAGTATACTCAAAAAAATACTATAACTCATTGATGGGAACGCTTCCAGACTATAAAACGGAAATTTCTCAAAAACAGCAGAGTCCTAAGCTAGTATGCTTAAATATACAGTACTTCATTCATGAAACAAATCCTTGGCCTTCAACAAATGCTCAATGCAAACACTAAATATCTTTGTTTACGAAAAATATCTTTGTTTACGAACTACCAAAGCTTCTGTAACATGGCTTCACTTTTTTGCTTCAGTAGAATGCTGTTAGGTTATACCTGATTGAGTCGGTGTATTTTCATCGTAAAGAGAGAAATTTCGGAAATTCTTCAATTTGCGTAAATCCCAAAGTTTAACACCATCATGAGCAGCAGTCTGATGATCAACACAGAAAGGAAACATTGGTCACAAGTTCAATCATAAACCGCTTTAAGCTGATGAAAGGAGGGTTTCAAAAGTTTAATTCAGTATTAGAATACTCACTGCTAAGAAGTAACCATTTTCTGAAAAGGAAATAGCAGTTACAGACCCAACATGGCCATCAAATCTTGCAACATTTGCCTGAAGAGAAGCACCAGAAAAACAGAGACACACACAAAGTAAGACTACTTGGAATGAAGAAGAGGAAGGACAAGAGTATTCGCTGCCTTTGAGGCAACAGACCTGACTTTTTACATCCCATATCTTAACCAGAGACCCTGAGGTCCCTGTTCCAAGGATCAGACCATCAGGGTGGAAAGCTGCGGATGTGTAGCCCTCAGATTCTGTAGCATCTGCCACCTGCATTAGAATTTGAACTTTTTTAACAAGTCTATAAATTGAAAAGATGATGACTCTAGACAACTATACATTGCTTTTTGAGAATGAGAGGCCAGAGGAAAAAGAAACCTGTGCAAGGCATAAGCCAGAAGCAAGATCATAAAAGCACCATGTGCTATCAAGAGAAGCAGTCACAAAATAGTTATTGGTCGCATGGACAGTGACAGCTTGCACCTGTAATCATTCGTAGATGTATATATCTAATTAGACGGTTAGAAAATGCACTAAATCCAGTTAATGAAAGCCACAACTTAAAAAATGAAGTACCATAAAAATGTAAAGGGTGAAGGCAATTTCACGGGTCTGGAGGACTTATATTATACAGTAGGGCCAACATAACATTGATTTCCACTTGAAATATCCCACTCGCCCCCTTATTCCCCAATAATGTATTTTACTTCTTCTTCTTCTTTTTAACTGTTCCTTAAAGCAAATGTGGAAGAAAAAAAAGACTTGCAGGTAGTCATTCAAGAGGTGGAAGCTCACTATGAAGATAGTCGGGGAACAGAAGAACGAAGTTTACCACAAGGCAAACACAACTCCAAGGACAAGAGAAATACTTTATTTCTCTTTGATACGACAACAGAAATACTCCCCAAGTAATTTCAGATCAAAAACATATTATGTACTTTGCATGAACAAATAACCTACTCTAAATATATAACAGTAAATATAGAAAACTACAATTTTCTAGTACAGTAAAGCACTAGTACAAATAGATTAGTTCCATCTCCATCTTTCACTTCTTAATGATCTCTTCCACAATTCGCATATCTAATCCTAGAAACAAAATATCCAAAAAGACGGAATACTAAAAGGGGCACCGAGATTAAGGATCACCACTGAAAAGCTAATTAGCTTGTTTTCCAAAATATTAAGTTTTGTACAATCAAGCAGGAGTATTACCAGCATTTTGTCCCTAAATAATAAGAAGGTAATTCGATATCAGAACTTTCAGTATTGATCAATGAGATGTTAATATGAAATTACCTCTGCTGTATGATCTTTCAAGACATGCCTACAGTCATAGTTCCCATTTTCAGAACTTTGCCACACACGAACTGTCTGCAAAACTCAACTACAGTTAAGTAAAACATCGACGGAAGAATGCCACTGAGGCTAGTCATGCAACTGTGCATTAAGCAACAACAGTGTTAATGTTTATATTTTTACTACTTAGCTGAGGTGCCAAACCCATCAGAAATGAGAAAAACATTTGACTCTAAAGTTGTTCTGTCATATAAAGAATTTCCAAATCCTACTACTAACCAGCTCAGAACCTAGAGGCTAGAACTGAAAGGACAAAACAATCAATAAAAACACATGTTCAATCAAACTAATCCTTTTCTTTTTTCTTATCCATTCTATTCTTGGAAACATATCAAAGAGTAAATATGGTGGCAACATTTAAAGAAACTCCATACTGTGACATCTAATATCAGTGACCTCATATTTAGATATTCTTTACAAGTGAACCCTTTCCAGTTATTCCTAACAAGTAGCACATAACCTACCATAGAAGGGGAGAACATACTAAGGAAAGTATAAGCTTCAATAAGACAAGAGAAGATGAAGGCATACTATTGAACGATAAGTGCATGTTCAATTTGACTAAAGAGAAACAATCAGGTTTACCTTATCTGCTGAGCCAGAGACCACTAGTTCACCCTCAGACGCAAATTTTACACTGGTAACCTAAAAAGGCAGAATATACTAAGCCAGAAATTTTGCTAAGCAAACACAGCTAAGGAATTATCAAGTAATAGTAAGAAAAAGAAATGTCAATAAGATGACAGACCCTCTTTGAATGACCACTTAGTGTTGATATGATTTGTCCTGAAGGACGATCGAAGACCACAGCATTTGAATCAACACCACCAGTAGCAATTAAGTCCTGACAGAACACAAATTAGAAATTAGAACTGAAAGAAGTTTAACCATAAACATGCCAAGAAAACAAGGAAGCATAATAATTAAGTGGTACAAACCATCGAATCTCTGCAACATTTGACTTTCTCATGAATCAAAACTTTCATCTTTTAAAGAGAACCTCTTGATGACAATAAGTTATTCCTTGGT